TTGTCCAAATTGCAGGGGTTCTTGCCTCTTCATAAAGCAGTCTCAGGTGCTTCCATTGGTGTTCATATACAGCAGTAGCAATTCTAGTAGTTTGGTGTAGAGAGTAAAATCAAGGTTTCAGGTGCAAAATGGTTGGAAGTCTTCCATTGGGCATGTATTTTGAAGAATGCCTCTTTGGTGCCACTTACTAATACTAGTGGAAGATGGCCAAAACGAGTGGTGAAAGTAGGGAGAGTATGAGACTAGCAGGTTTGATCTAAAGAGGTGGGAATTCAGGCAAGATGTACCTCTTGATCTAATCCAATTTGCCGCTCAACAGCGTACAGGTTTACTCAGAAGCATGCCCCACTGTATTCAATAGTGCTTGCTGCTGGGTAAGTGCAGCTGTGGATTGGGTCTGTTATCTGGTCCAGTTGCCCTGGAGTGTGGATCCAGTTGGATGGGCATTAGTGAAGTTCAGTTGTAACTTTGTGCCAAGGGACTTTTCATAGACGAGTGTGAACACCCCTTGCTGGGACTGACCATCTCAAGGAGCCTGAATCTTTCGGGAGTCCTAAGTGGCCTGAACCTTCCGCATGGTGGGCCTTTGTGTTCGACACCTCCTTAGGGCTATTAGCCCAATCCTGGAATACCGCTGCATGACCGCGTGTTTGTCTGCATGCTCTGTTCGTGAGCCGCAGCTCTAATGCACCTGTCTCTCTCTCTGTCTCTCCCCCTGCCCTCCCCTTTCTCCTTGTTCTTTCTGTCCTGCTCAGACATCAGACTCCGTGTTCGTGCAGAGTACTGTGAGCACGAGCCCATCCTGCGTCAGAACGTGATGTCAAACAAGCAGAATCGACTAGAGCGTCAGTTTGATGTCTTTGGGCAGTCCAACACCATCCTCAAATCTCGTGACCTGGGCTCAATCATCTGCGACATCAAATTCTCGGAGTTGTCCTACCTGGATGCCTTCTGGAGTGATTATATGAATGGCTCGCTGCTGGAGGCGCTGAAGGGGGTCTTCATCACAGACTCGCTCAAAGAAGCTGTGGGCCAGGAGGCTATCCGGCTGCTGGTGAATGTGGACGAGGACGATTATGAGGAAGGACGCCGTCTCTTGCTGGAAAGCGTGGCTCCCCAGACCTGGTGACCTGGCCTCCTCCAGGAAACAGAAGTATGTTTCTCCCTCCAGGCTGACTGGTGGTGCTGTGCGCGCTCATGAGAACATAGGAAGAGATCAGGCCAGTGGTCCCTTTAGTCCAGCATCCTGTCTCACACAGTGGCCAACCAGTTCCTCTGGAGGACCAACAACAGGGCATAGAGGCTGAGGCCTTCCCCTCAATCGCCATGGCTAGTAGCTACTGATAGACCTATCCTCCATGAATCTATCTAGTCCCTTTTTTAAGGCTGTTTATTCCTGTGGGCATTGCTACATCCTCTGGCAGTGAATTCCATACTTTAATCAGTATTTCCTTTTGTCCATCCTGGAACCAAGTGCCCATCCGCTTCATTGAGTTCTAGTCTTTTGGGTGAGGGAGAAAAATTTCCTTTTGTCAACTTTCTCTGCCCCATGCGTAATTTTATAAGCCTCTCTCATGTTCTCCGTTAGTCTTCTCTTCAGCCTTTCCTCATAGGGAAGGTGCTTCAACCCCCTAATCATCTTTGTTGCCCTCCTCTGTACCTTTTCTAGCTCTTTAATGTCCTTTTTGGGATAGGCTGACCAGAACTCTACACGGTATTCCAAATGAGGCTTCACCATAGATCTATACAGGGACATTACAATGTTGGCTGTTTTGTTCTCAATCCCTTTCCTAATAATCCCTAACATAGAGTTTGCCTTTTGTACTGCTGCAGCACACTGAGTTGTCACTTTCATTGAGCTCTCCACTACAACCCCAAGGTCTTTTCCCCTCCCAGTCTCAGCAAGTTCAGATCCCATTAGCCTATACTTGAAGTTGGGGGGTTTTTTGTCCCAGTGTGCATCACCTCATAACTCTTCAGGCTTTTAGCAGCCTGTCTCGCCTGTCAGCTGTCCCCACCCCCTCTCTGTCTCAAGTGTATTTCTGTAAGGGGGAGTGAGCTTTTAAACTTTCCTTTAGAGCCAGTTTGGTGTAGTGGTTAAGTGCGCGGACTCTAATCTGGGAGAACCGGGTTTGATTCCCCACTCCTCCACTTGCACCTGGCTGGATAACCTTGGGCAAGCCCTAGTTCTGATAAGAGCTGTTCTTGAAAAAGAGCAGTTTCTGTCAAGAGCTCTCTCAGCCTCACCTACCTCACAGGGTGTCTGTTGTGGGGAGGGGGAGGGAAAGGAGTTTGTAAGCTGCTCTGAGACTCCTTTGGGTAGTGAAGGGTGGGGTATAAATCCAATCTCTTCTTCTTCTTCCTTTAAGCGCATCTGTCTCTTTCTGTGCCAGCTAGTTTTAGATGTCCCCTCAGTCTCCTCATCCCAAATTCCATTTCAGAGAATCAAGGCATTTGGCAGAAGAGGAAAATGTTAACTTCATAAGAGGCATGAAGGAGATTGTTGGAGCCTTCCTCTTGTAGAGTGTAGCAAGCTTATGGCTTTGCTGCTTCCTTAAGAGAGTCTAATTCAGACTCAGCTGAAGAAACATGAATAATTATGCTCTGTTATTCATCCTAATTTTTGTGGTCTGTCTTGTTTCCTAAGAAGCCTCCTGCCCGGCAGCTTGGCATTGATCATATGAATTAAGCCTCTTGCCTTTTCTAGTAAGATGGTCCTTCAAGGGATTCAGAGCCAGCGTTTCAGTTTTAACATCCTTCCCTTCCTTTCTCACAGGACACGCCATTGATCCGATTTGCAGACTTGAGAAGACAGGACTTTAGAAAAGGAACCTTCATCCCGTCGTGGGGCAAGGCTGGATCTTGGCAGCGACGGGGCCCTGGGGAGTCACACAGCGTGCCACAGCTGGTCATGTTGTGGTTGAAGCGCTGAATGGACAGCAGGAAATGACGTCAATGGACATTCGGATGTAGCAGGGCGTGGACGGAGGTCACCCGCTCAGTGGGTTCCTCTCCCTCTGAAGCGAACGGGACGCCCCGGGCAGAAGTACCATGTCCAGGGGACTGTGAAAAGGGCACAAATCGGAGTGTATATCATGCTCACTACCAGTGTTTGATTTACCCCCACCCCACCCCCCACGGTGGAGAGAAACCTCATCTCATGGAGGTGCAAACACTTCTGTGAAGGATGGCAGTGGCGCATGCGGTTTCTAGCTGCTTTGTAGGAAGAGAAGTCAACTTCTCCAAGTCTGCTGTTGGGGGTGGGATATTCCCCTCCCCCCTAAGTTACGTATACAGCCACAGGGCTGATGGTTGTAAACAGAGGAAGCTCAGAGTTACTTTCCAGAGGGATACCTTTCAACTGTCTTGCGCCTATTTGTACATAGTATAAATAATAGAGGTTTGGTTTGTTTTTTTAAAGGCAAGCAGTTCACACAGTATCTCTCATAGAGGGGTCTGTTTCACAGCACTGGGGTGGGTGGGGAACACACAGAAACCTGTAATTTAATTTTTTTTTTTTTACAGAACAAAAATAATTTTTGATGTTCTTGTATTGTATTTGCAAATGACAAATGTTAATAAAGAGAGTTTGCAATCGCCCGGCTTTGTTTAGTGAGAACAAACCTTCTGTCACCGAACAGTCTTGCCCTTCGGTCCCCCATTGAAATCTTTCAATCCTATTTCTTGCCCCGTGAAGAAAGGCAGAGGAAGGAATGGGTAGACTCTTCCGTGGCTGCAGGTAGGTCCAAAGGTCTGCTACTAGCAAGTGAGTGACGGCATGATCCAGCGTCAGTCAAAACCACTCCAGAGGTCTCAATCTCCTATGAGCCCAAATCCCCCCTCAAGTTCTCAAGAACATAAGCCAATGTTGGATCAGGCCAACAGCCCATTCAGTCCAACACTGTCACACAGTGGCCAAAAATACCAGGTGCCATTAGGAGGTCCAGCAGTGGGGCCAGGACACTAGAAGCTCTCCCACTGTGCCCCCCCACCCCAAAGCACCAAGAATACAGAGCATCACTTGCCCCAGCCTGAGAGTTCCTATCTAGACCTTGTGGCTAATAGCCCCCGATGGACCTCTGCTCCGTATGCTTATTGAATTCCCTCTTGAAGCCGTCCATGCTTGTGGCTGCCACCAACTTCTGTGGCAGTGAATTCCACTCTGGGTGGAGAAGTACAGGGAACTGAACAGAACAAGACAGGTATTGGCAGCAGGGCTTCTAGCTGCAGTAGTTGTGTGCACACATTGCCTTGACATGACCACGGGCCAGCACTGTGTCTAGCTTCTAAAGGGCGTTGAAATGGGAGGCCCCGTATCTTCCCAGTCAGGGGAAGTATTCAGTCCCTGGAGTACAATAGCAGTACAACTTGCTTTGCTGGGACAGTGAATGCTCATCCCTTCCAGTTACAGTGTAGAAGGGTAGGAAATTCCATCAGGCCTAGAAATGTGCGGCCAGTCCTTTGGCCCCGATGGACCTCTGCTCCGTATGCTTATTGAATTCCCTCTTGAAGCCGTCCATGCTTGTGGCTGCCACCAACTTCTGTGGCAGTGAATTCCACTCTGGGTGGAGAAGTACAGGGAACTGAACAGAACAAGACAGGTATTGGCAGCAGGGCTTCTAGCTGCAGTAGTTGTGTGCACACATTGCCTTGACATGACCACGGGCCAGCACTGTGTCTAGCTTCTAAAGGGCGTTGAAATGGGAGGCCCCGTATCTTCCCAGTCAGGGGAAGTATTCAGTCCCTGGAGTACAATAGCAGTACAACTTGCTTTGCTGGGACAGTGAATGCTCATCCCTTCCAGTTACAGTGTAGAAGGGTAGGAAATTCCATCAGGCCTAGAAATGTGCGGCCAGTCCTTTGGCGAGCTCTCACAAATGCTACGTTGAGTTGTTTGTCATTTTTGCTGAGATCTTTGTTGAGTCAAAATGTCGGTGGGGGAGAGGCTTCTGCCGGCTTCAACGGATGTTGCCCAGGGAAGGTAAGTAGTTGGGTCGGAAGGAATCGCCCTGTACTGGAACAGTCACTCCTGCAAGCAGTTTAATTGGACGTGGGTTCTTCGGAGTCCGTGGGCGATGCAGTCTAACGGAGCCTGAGTCATCCAGAGTGCCGCAGTGGGACTCATGCCAGAGACTGGCAGAGGCAAATGCAAGCATCCTAGGGCAGGCTGTGCAAGGGGAGTTCGAAGAAGCACGCATTCTACTCCACCACAAATGGAAGGTTGTGTGATACAGCGGGGTCTTTGGGCTGGTTCAAGGGTATCCCAACGTGAAGGAGCAGGGGACAGCTCCCACCTTTGGCACCCTGTCGTCCACACGAAGCCAGGCCAGCATCCCTAGTGGGTCTGCTTTCAAAGCTCCAAGGAACTCTGAGAAAGTTCAAATGCTCTGGAGCTTTAGCTATAAGAAAATGCAATCCAGGAACATTTTTGAACCAACCTCTAGGGGGCTTCACATGTAAAGCCAAGAGCTTAAATTGCTTGCTTTCCTTAGATTTTTCTCGCAAAGTACGGATGTTAATGCTGTCTGATGGGCTTCAGAGGCAATCTACCATTTCCACGGGGAAGGGTACCCAAGAATTAAGCTGGAGTGTAGCATCTTCGAGTCCTGTAGGGCAAGTTATCCTCCACCCTGTACCCCACTGTCTCCTGTATATGTTCCCACCCCTTGAAACTTGGAGCTAGCTTTGGCTTTCAAACAAAATACATGGTCTCTGTAGCCTCAGGATATCATGTACCACTGACCAATCAGGACTTTCCAAAAGTTCAGGCGTCTCAAAGGACTCTGGGGTTTGTAGTTTGTGAACGGAAGAAGGAAAGAGCTGGCAAAGCATTCTTGGTATAAAAAGGTCAGAGCCTGGAGTTCCTTGGGGCAAGCTAGACCTGGTATGTGTATGAAACAGGCTGTATCTGCACTGTACAGAACTACCTTTCATTTATTAGCTTCGTTGACCAGAGGTCTTAAGCCAAGCATACAGCTACTATAAAACACATATAATTACAAGATAATTTAGGCCAAACGTTTTTACAATAAAACTAATAAACATACTCAATATTAATAGACAACATTTTATAAACTTCCATAAATTCTATGAAATCCCATGATATTACGGAAATTGGTTTAAAATTTTAAAAATGTGTATACATCAAACGACCTACAGCATTTCAAAGCTGCTTTAAAAATAGCACTACCGATAGATCTTTTGCCACCAAGCGAGATGTTTCAGGGTCCTCATCTCCTAGCAATATGGTTATCACCAGAGGTCATTTCGGGGGAATCGCGGGGGAACGCAGTTCCCCCAGGTGAGGTACGGGGGGCGGGGCACATGACGAAGCCCCGCCCCCTGCTTCTGGCCGCCCTGCTTCCGGCCCTCATTCAGCCAGGAGGAGGCAGGAGAAGAGGGAGGGTAAGTTGCTTCCTCTCTGCCTCTTCCCACCCCTGCCTGCCTGGGGCCAGGGAGGGCCTTCGCAAGGCTTCCTTGCACTCCCGCTGGCCTTGCAGGTCCACCGCCGGGCCCCTCATGGGGGGACGGGGTGTGTGGCCTTATGACACATTTCCGGTGATGTCAGGAGGTGTGGCCTTATGACACACTTCCGGTGATGTCAGGGGGTGTGGCATATGCTAATGAGTTATGCTAATGAGTCCCCCTATCTCTTTTTCTACGAAATGACCCCTGGTTATCACCCAAGGTTCCATAGGAAGGTGATGTATATTTAAAAAATAGAAGTAATCCAACAGGACCTGGTGCGATCCACTGGTGGCAAAATAACATAAGATGATCTAAGGTCTCTATTGCACATGATCCACAATCGCTCAATCTATTTGAATACTGTTTTTTAGCAAAACGGCCTCTTAGCTCTGCAGTTGGAAAAATATTTAACCTAGCAAGCATGAAGACATATCTAAATCTAGGGGATGTAAGGAAGCTCATATATGAGGGAATTTTCTTAGGTGGCACAATTCCTAAGGCAAAGTTGGAGCATACTCGCCTAGCTTGCTGGTTCCCTGCTCTCTGTCCTTGGAAACAGAAGGGATGGCCACGCTCAGAAGAGCTGGATGGGACGCCAACACTGGAGCATTCTAAAGAGATCAGTGTGTCGACCGTTTCCTGGTCAGGAATTTTACTCCAAAATGGAGTAGATGGAGCTGTAATGCAGGTTTCAAAATAGACTTAAATGCTTAATGTTTGAGCAAAAGTGACCATTAGAAATTTAGAACTCTGCATTTTGGTCTTTTCTCTCCCTCGGTTGGGCCTGGAACGGCTGCTCTTAGTCCAGTTTAACAGGTGAGCCAGTTGGAATGGAGGAAGAACTCCATCTTTAATGCGTGGGTCGTCAGCCCCTCGCTCATGCTGCTTCCTATTTAGCAGCGTTCCTTTGGCCCACTTGCCCTCGGGGCTACCTGTCCTTTAGTTTCCCTTTATCCTAAGACCGCCCTTCCTGTCCCCTGATCTTTTTAACCCAGCCAAGTTGATGATGTTCCCTTCCGACATAGGAAATGGATTGCAAACCATTTGGCCCCCTGAGCAGCTGAACACTCTGGGCCAGGTCTACTGACTCACCTTATCAGGATCAGAGGTTTTGCTGCCACAAGCCGGAGACAGAGGATATGAAATCAAAGTAATAATCGCAAGTTGTAATTTTGATGGGGTTTTAAACACCCGATCCCTGAATGTGTGTGGCCACGAGCAGACCGTCTGAACTGATACCCGTGAAAAGGCTGTAGGAAATTGCCCCTTTTCTAGGTGGGGGGAGAGGGAACTCGGAATATAAGGGGTGGGGGAGAGAAAGAAGGGTGCCAGCCAATGGGTGACTGTTGCTGCCTTCAACCAAAAGCAGGCCCTGCAGAATTGCACCAGATCCCACAGGGCCTTGATGTCATTTGGCAGGGAGTTCCACCCAGGCCCGTAGCTTCAGTGGGGCATCTCGGGGCTAGGCTGACTTACTGGACTTCCCATCCAGTCCAGGGCCCCCAAGCGGCAGCAGGTGTGGGGAAGGAGCTGGGTATGCCTTTAATTCGATTAGCCAGTGCCCCCGATGAAATCTAAAAGCCCCCTGACTTTAAAAAATCCTGGCTACGGGCCTGGTTCTACCAGGTCGGGGCCAGCACCGAGAAAGCCACAGCCCTGGCCGAGGACAGCCAGACATCCCTGGGGCCAGGGATCACCGGCAAGTTCTTCTTCGAAGAGCATAAAGCTCACCTGGGGACGTACTGGAGAAGATGGTCCCGTAGATACTGTTTCCAGGGTCGGATCTTTGGCTTCCAAAATACAAAAGTGA